CTACCTAGGTGTAGTGTGACTCTACTGTAGTGTGGGGTGGGGGTGCTGGAGTGTGGAAAGTGTTTTACTAGGCCTCAAGAATGGAGGAGGCCTGTGTTGTCAGAGGAGGAGAACCCGGGAAGCTGATGGTTACTGGAGATGCCCGGAACATAGTGGACCTCACAAGATGAGCACCAATTAAATACACAGCTGAAATACACGCATGGAATGATTTTACCTGCCAAAACATTGTTTAATGTGTTAAGCCAATCTTGTGGCCAAGTCTTGAACTTCCCTGCAGAGTAGAGGCAGTTGGACAAATAAAGTACGGTCTAGGACCCATAGCTTGTGACTTTTCAATGGAGAAGAAGAACATTGATGAAGTCATCTCTCTGTATAGTTGGACTGCTCTGTCCAAAGCATCGCAGCCCTGTTGCTCAGAGTGCTGACCCTTGGTCTCCGTGACTAGTGTTATTACTTGCAGAAGAGAACAGGAGGCTAAGATATATGTTTAATTTTTATTCAGTTTTGGGTCCAGATTTGGCCTATAGATTGCCCTGACCAAACCAAAATATGGGAAGAGGTTTATGACTTAGGTGGACTACATAAAGGACAGGGAAGGGTAAAAACTGAAATGGATAGGATTGTTTTAGCTTGGTTATGAATGGCCAGGGTTGGAGAGCAGAAAGTAGAGAGCAACATCACAGAAGCAGCCCCTTTGTACCAAAGCTCTCCCTCCCTCCTACCCATTTTAATAATTAAGGTGGACATTACATTGTACTTTTAAAGGAAGGGTGATGGGATTAGGTTTTGCAGTTTGGAGAGGTTTGGGAACAATGATGGGCCCTTAATAGAGCCTAGAAATAAGGTTGGCTAGGAAATAGGAGTTTACTGACGCTTGACTTCAGGTCAACAGTCACCATTGTAATTTACAAGTAGTATGTGGCTTAATTTCCCAAGTTGGTCTTGAGTTCACGAAATAATTGCTTTATAATGCATTTAGGGGTAATGACCTAATTATGTACCCACTGTGCCGGTTACGTGTAGCTGGTGGCTACTAGGATATGCAATGCACTTAAAAGGGGCACTGTCAAGGACCTGCTTTTCGATTTGTAAAATGTTAGTATTTATGATAATGTAATTCAATGTCATCCTGGCGATGAAAAAAAAAAACTTTTAATGTGGTTACTGTATCTGGTAATAAAAGCTGTGGCCCTTCAATGACTATATACAGTTAGTGTTTCATATTTGCCAATGTTCCTGCTCAGTCCTAGGACTCAGGTTTGGATAGAAGCATTCTGTTCTGCCATCTAGTGGGTGTTGGTGATACTGCAGCTGGTTTTTGGTAGTTGCTAAATTGGAAAGTATATCTTGTATTTGGGTGGGTTTGCAGCACAAAGAGCTGAGTGTGGCCGTGTTTAGTAGTATCGCAAGACAGGAAAGATTGTGGGAGTGCTGCACACTTCCTTGAACTGCAGACAAAATAGCCGAAGGTATATTGGGCCTCCATTCAAATGAATGGCAATGCACGGTACCGCACGCATTGTGCAATAACATGTACTAAACACGCAGTATCATGCATTGGGCCGCTGCTTATGGTGTGAGCCAGGCCTAACTATAACAGAAGCCATTGAATCAGCATAACTACCAAGCAACTAGCATTTTCAAAGGCTTTTGAGTTTTTCTCACTACAGGTCTCCTTTTAATACACTTTTTAGTAGAAACCAACTGAAAGCAATATGTAGGCTGCTTCACTAAACTAGAACAAGATGGCAGATTAGGAGCACTCTGAGCTTCCAGTGTGCGTTGACCTTTTTTTTTTTTTTTTCTCTTCAAAGCATTTTTTTTTTCATTTTGAGGAGCTCTGACCCTCCTTTTAAGGGCACTCTGACTTTTCTCCTAGGGGCGCTGGGGCTGTTCAGCTAGGGGCGCTGGGGCTGTTCAGCTAGGGGCGCTGGGGCTGTTCAGCTAGGGGCGCTGGGGCTGTTCAGCTAGGGGCGCTGGGGCTGTTCTTCTAAGGGGCGCTTGGGCTTTTTGGGTTTGTAATGCAGAAAGCATTTAAGCCAGAGACAGCCAGGTGAATGAGTTTATTAAACAAGTAATGACAGCCTCCTATATGATTTCAGCACTGGTCCTCTCTAACGTGTGTGTTTTTAGTTGAGTTGGTTCTGTTAATGCCCCAATGTACCCCATTTTAATTCCTCCAATTATTGCTATTATTTCACCTTTTACTGAAAAAAAGGTATAAAGCCTTAACCCTTGAAGCTGATCATAATTGTCTATACACTACTGGGCAGACCATTACACACAACCCCTGTGGGGGTTACACCAGGCTTTATCCTGTGTTCATGCTGTGCTTGTAAAACCACATTTTGTTTCCCTAAGCCTGAGACATTTTTATTTGTCAAATTGCACATCTTGAAATGTCAAGGGGTTTACACACCTACAAAGGGGGCTCTGTGTGCTGATTTCATATACAACAGCGCCACCTGCTGGATCAGGCAAATGTATTACAGTAGACAAAGCCATTCCCTTCCGGAAAATTAATTCCTTATTCTTCAAATCAGATTGTGAACTTGTGACCTGCCAGGTCATTCACAATTCACCTTCTGCTTGGTTCCAGGCTTCCAATTCATCATTCATAGCAGCAAAGTTGAATTTGAGATTGTAGCATGTTCAGAGTTAATAACCCGTGACATAACTGAGCGATGGCGTTATGGACTGTGCAGGAATTGTCCTTTAATTTAGATAGAAATGTGCAGTATTGTAGAGGTGTGTGACTCATATGCGGCTACTATAATTTCCTGAAATACGATCTTGTATCAGCTTCCTCTGATCTACTAGTCACTGGGAATCACTGGGAGTTATTGGCATCCAATCTGGTTGTGTTTAATTGCATGTATTGCACAATGTCCTTCATGTTTTAGGAACTGACAAACATTGGAGGGGCTGTCACTGTTGACATGCTTCAGAAATGCTAATTTCTGGCTGTCAATTCTTTAGCTGCTGCATGTTTGTTCCAGTGGATCAAAGTCATAGTGCAGGGCTTGGACTTTCACTTTAAATTGGCCAAGTACATTCCACATGTATCAAAACAAAATGTGTTTAAAGGATTATAATTCATTTTCTTTAGAAAGTAGCCAGGGCCTGAGTAGAAAAGCTTGTCCTCTGCCAGCATGCCTTAGAGAAGGACCCTTGCTCTGTGTGGAAGCTGTGGTCTTTCTGTAGAGGTCCGCCATGCCCCCTGCTGAGTCAGAGCTAGAGCTCTCCAATCAGGGCTTTGCGGACAGCAGAGCTATAGGTCTGATTCAGTAAGGGGATGTCCGATCACTGCAGAAACCTCTGCTTCCACCCAGCGCAAGGGTCCCTCTCTGCAGCATGCTGGCAGGGGACAGGCTTTCCTATTCAGGCTGTGGCTGCTTTAGAAAGTGAGCAGTATGGCATGATGCACTTGGAATGTATTTAGCTGATTTTAAACTGAAAGGTCAAGTGGGCTTTAAAGGAGGGCTAGAGCTCACGGAGAGTGTAAGCAGTTAAGGTTAAGTTTTTTTATAGTCTGATGACCAGGTTTTGGTGGAGAGTAGGGATGCACCGATACCGATTTTTCGGTATTGAGTGCCAATATTTTTTTTTTCTGGTACTTGCCGACACCAGAAGCATTATTAGCGAATCACGCGGCGGGTAATGACTCATCAGGTGACAATGAAGCATAGAGACTATAATGGTGATTGTGAATGCCAACTACTAGCTAAATCATGACCTGGATGAATGAGAACCTTCACAGATGGTCTGAGGCTTGTTCAGGAAGGTAAAACATGTTTGGAACGTGAGCTAATGGGGTCTTCTATCATCTTTAAGCTTTCAAAGGGAGGGGAAATCCCCTCTTATAAACAGCTGTCACCAGTGCAGGATTCTCCACTGGAATATTGCCCACACTTAGGGTTTTCTTCTCACTTTTGGCCCCCATGATAATGGTCACCATGGCAGATGGGACACAGCAATAAAAACTTGATGCAGGTTCTAATCTTTGCCCACCCCGTGCAAAACTAGAACTTTTAAAGAAATACATAGTGGTGAGTCACAAACAGCTGGACCTTTTCTGTGATTTTGAAGACCTTTCATATCTTAGCCAAGCCACTACTTCACTTCAGTGTCAGGAACATACCCAATATTTATATCCATACAGGTAGCACAGGCCCTCCAATCCAATCACCATGGAATGTGTCAAGGTAGATGTTGTCCCAAGAACAGTATGGGAGGTGTGAGAGTTGTTGAACTCCGCTCCCTCTAGGGATACAATTCCATCCTTGATGGTCTGCATATGTGTTAATCCTTTAAAGGAGAACTATGAGGGGGGGTGCTTTTCACTCACCTCATAGTTCTAGCCGACCTGTGACAATGAGACTGTCACAGGTCGGCTCAGTAGATCGGGAGGTGAGCGAACACATACCGGGTTCGCTCGCCTCTCGATCCTGTCACGGCTCTCTGCCGTGACAGGTGGAGGGGCTGGATTCCCCTCTCCCCGCTCCGATCTGCCAGCGCTGACTGGCGGAACGGACGGGGAGGGGGCAGGTACAGCTGGCTCTGCCTCTAGATGGGCAGAGCCAGCTGTCACTCACGCAGCTGGGCGGATCCCGTCATCTAAGTCGTGATCCACTCCGGCTGCGGCGTCTCGGTATACCGCGAGCTGTAGCTTGCGGTATACTGAGCTTAGGGTGACGGGAGGACGCTAGTTTGTGTCCTCCCGTTACCCTAAGGAGAACTATGGGGAAAAACACATTATATAAAACTACATTATATATGGAGAAAAGAAAATCCCTTTTGCCTTCTAAGGCTTGTTCGGAAGGTAAAGAAATGTTTGACGCACTAACTGTTCGGACCTCACAATTTGATCTCACTGCAGGAAAATGAAATGTGATGGCTGCTGTCTGTTGCTACACATTATGTTGTCTGAATGGGCCCTTATGTGACTTGGTGCATCCCATAATGAGGGGTAAATCTTGTCCGTCCATCTTTTGCAGAGACTCCAAAATTCCAGAACCCCCTGCTGGGCACAAATGGAAGGAGGTCCGTCATGACAATACTGTCACCTGGCTGGCATCGTGGACTGAAAACGTTCAGGGACTGGTAAAATACATCATGCTGAATGCCAATTCCAAGTTAAAGGTACAGAATTGAAACAATTAGATTTACCCATTTTATGAATTTTTAAAATGTAACCTTTCTATAGTAAATGCAGTGGTTACTCCTTCATAACCAAGGCCTTTCTGTATGGAAGCAGTGGTGTCTCTACAGAGGTCCCGCACACCCTTGCAGAATCAGATCTGTAGCTCTGCACTCAGTAAAGCTTGTGCGCCCTGCTAATTGGGAATCGCTACCTCTGATTCAGCAGGGGGCACTTCTGACTTCTGCAGAGGCTCCACTGCTTCCACACGGAGCAAGTGTCCTCTGCATCATGCAAAGTCCAAATCACATTTGCACTGCCACGGTCTCAAAACCACGGTCTTATTTACTCTGCACCATGCAGACTTTTCTACACAGACTGTAGGAAACAATTTTGTAACCCTGTATATGAAATTGCCATAGTATTGGTTATGGGGGCTTCCCACTGTAGAGTGGGATTTAGTTTGTGAAGTCTTCAAAGCAAAGGTATAGGAAAATGTCTTCTGTATATTAATTTTAATGTATCTCAATCTGCCTTTGTACCGGCCTCCTGTAGCCCGCTAAACACAATTCACGCCTATGGCTCAGTCTTGAAATGCCTTATGGGATTTGTAGTTTCACAACAGCTGGAGTGCCGAGATTGCCTACCACTGTATTACAGCCTAATTCCAATCTGCATCCCCCTTCCTCAAAGGACTAGGAGTGTCCTTTTTTCGCCACCTCGCCCTGCATTAGCCGCCACAATGCATAAACATATCCATGCAAAGCAATTGTGAAAAGTCTAACCTCATCCTCTACCTTTCCTCTGTGCTTTCAGAGCTGTCGCCTTCAGATCAGTGCCAGTATATACACTACAATGTCTGTGTACATGCAGAGAATTCGCCGTCTTCCCTTTTAATGTTTTTTACACCTGTCACAACTTCACTAGGGTTCTACATCACTATTGTACAACCTGTGGCTAACTCTAAAGTACTACAGTTCCCAGCATGGCCCCCCAGTATTTTTGTCTCCGGCGATGTGTACATCAGACTGGAAGAGGATACTGCAGAAGTTGCAGCGCACTGATCTTCCCGCACTGATCACAGCACATTCTGTTCATTGGCCCGCTGGGATGTATAAGACTGTAAATGAGTCCATGCATCTATTCCACAGCCAAACAGGAACATTATACATGTTCAGATATTCCCAGCAATATAAGTGCCGATAAAGCTTCTGCCACCGAAATATATGTAAGTCGAAGGAACGCTGTTGCTTTAGCAATGCTGCATTTTAAAGTGCATCTTAAAGGGTTAGTTGACCCAAAAGTGTTTGGAAGCTGCCGGAAGTGTTAAACCACTTTGAAGTTTTATCGTTGTCTCTCGGGAACGCTATTGGTGAGGAATCTGAATGGACTTCCCACGTCTGCATGCTTGCCTTGTGGGTGAGAAAAAGGTTCAAGAGGGCAATATTTTCAATATGAAGCCAAGATCAAGGACACGGAGGTTCATGATCTCAAACTAGCAGGAGGAAGGGTCAAAACTGACCTTAAATATAATTTTGCCAAGGTGCTTGGAACAGACCTCCAGCAGATGTAGTGAGGTCAGCAAACAGTAAGTGAATTTAAATATGCCTGGGACAAAATATAGATCTATACACGAACCAAAAGGTTAAAAAAAAGTGGGCAGACTCAATGAACCATTTTGGTCTTTTTCTGGGGTCACTCTTATGTTTCTATGCTTTCCTGGTTTAGGCTGCTAGCCACATGAATTGCTCGCCTAGGGTCATAATGCGTCCTTTAGGTTAGAAAGCAAATGGCTGGTCTTGCCCTTCAGCAGAGATCATATGTTGACTTGAATACAGGATTTCCAGAGCACTATGGGTTACCAACAGAGGACAGCACAGAAGAAGCCATCACTGCTGTAACACCCACTTAGCAGTGAATTACATTTTAGCAGATATTAGGCCTATCCAAATGAATACAGACCGCTTTACCTTGATGTGGACAATACAAAAAAGTTACTAGATGCTCAGTGTTTCATGTGTTTGCAGTCTAGACCACCCTTTCTCAACTAGGGTGCAGTGGCACCCTGGGGTGCCTTAAAGGTTTTGCTGTAGGGGGCCCCTGATGTAAAGGGGGGCTTCTGGTGTGAAAGGGGGGGGCACTGATGTAAAGAGGGAAAACACTTTTTTTTGCATTGGATCTCCCCTTAAAATTCGTACCAGACACATGTATTTTTACTAGGGATGCACAGATACTTTTCGAGTACCAGTGCAGATACTTGGCATTTTCATAAGAACTACCAGGGTTGCAGCTGGGACCTGGCTCTGGCACTCCACCACTGTCCTGAAATCATTAGTCTGTATTTTTTTAGAAAAACTGTCACACCACAATAAACAAAAATGTATCCGTACTCGTACTTGTAAGTACTCGGCAAGTACCAGTACTCGTACTCGCAAAACTGGTATCTGTGCATTCCTTTATATTTATAAAAATAAAATCATACAATAAAACGGAGATGTACAAATCCCAGGAGCTCCGTGTGCTCCTTACAAATGACAGCAGCCTCCTAACTTTTGAATTTTTCTGTAGTGTAGTCTTGGAGCTCAAAAGTATCGGTACATGTATTCGTACTTGTACCGAGTACTGTACTTGGTATCTGTGCAACCCTAATTTTTACATTTTACTCTTTCACATTTTAGACTGGGGTGCTTTGAGATTCTGCATACTTTTTAAAAGGTGCCGTGACTGGAAAAAGGTTGAAGAATGCTGGTCTAGATCACAGTGCACAGCATAAGACATTAGCCCAAGCTCCCCTTTCATGCTCCTACAGCTCCTGTATTAGTGGATAATACGGCACACATAATCACCTAATACAATAAGGAACTCGGCATGTCACTTCAACTCTCCGAGAAGCTCTGCATTCACACATGGAGAGCAATAGAACGGCTTATAGCACACTGTTGGCTGCAGTTCTTGGGTCCTAGGATTCGGTGTGCACAGTGAGGGGGCTCTTCAGAAGCTTTCTCATCCAGATGAATCTGGCCCTATGGAAGTTGTGTGCACCACTTAGGATACATTAGCTGTGATCGACACTTCTGAAGCCCAGGGGGCATGTTTGAGATCGTGGGTCTTGTAAGAGACTGTCTGAAGACAGGAAGTGTCTACTGCAATGCCCTTCAATTAAAACTCAGGCAGGCACTGGGGAAGGGGTGAAAAATAGAGCAACACTGTTTTCCCCAAGCACCAGAGGGTGAAGCATATGGGACAAATGGGTGACGCTTAACTTATTTAAGACTAACTGTGATTGAAAGCCAGGATGGAACTATGCAGGAAGTGACGAGTCCCTCCAAGGAGTCAAGTGTCGTCAGCACACCAGACGAAATGGTCAAGTGATCGCCCTTTATTGATGCATGTTGTCACATTGAAGCATTGAATTGCTTCAATGTGACAACATGCCTCCTTACCATCTTGTCTTGAATTGTATTGTGATTGTAATGTCCTCCTTATATTGTAAAGCGCTGCACAAACTGCTGGTGCTATATAAATCCTGTATAATAATGCATCGTAAAGGATGATCACTTGACCATTTCGTCTGGTGTGCTGATGACACTTGACTCATCCATTGGGTCCTGCAAGGAGTCATTCAGTTGTGCATAAATTTCCAATTAAAATTCTGGTAATGTATATTTGGGGAAAATTGGGGATATACATTAAAGGTGGTAATGTATAGTATATCCCTGATGTGTGGGGAAAACTGCACTACAATGAACTACACTCCTTGGTATCAGCCTAACTCTGAGGCGGGTTGGAAATATTGATGGATGTGTTAGGGAGAGGCATACATCGGAGGACTGGCTGATTCTATTGATAGATTACATTTTCACATATCCCTCAGCAAAGTCCGCCACCATTCCCAGGTCACAGGCTTAGCAGACTCCAGAGCTTCATGTGCATTGGCAGAACACAACTCCAAAGCTGAATAATTGATGGATGGTTTCAGCCTCTGGATGGCGGGTGCAGGTGTCGCGCATCTGAGCGTTGGGACGGCAGAACTTCGAACATTTCCAAGGCTACAGCTGACAAATGTCCTGAGCTGGAAGTGCATTTGGGAGAGTGAGAGGTGCACTGTGTGCTTTTTTTTTTATTACCATTCATGAATGCCTAATGCTCGTAATCGGGGTAGATCTCGGCAGGCGGCGAGCGCTGATTTAAGCCGTGGCATGAGCTGTACTGGCTTCTGTCGCGGAGCGATGCTTGGTCATGTATTGCCACGGGTAATACAAATATGTATATTTGCGTTGTGCGCCATCAACTACTCCCAGAATCCCTTTCAAATAATGAATGGTTAAGCCGCCGACAAACGGAGGAGTTTTTCATAGCTTGACGAGCCCGGTAGGAGGATTCGTATTGCATACAGTAAAATTGGCTGCGTACTTGCGGTTGCGATATCACATTATTAAGCTGTTTTTATGTGAAGGAGAAAGTTCAGGATACAAACTGGAGGAAGACTCGGCAGAACTATTTATTCCGGGCTTAATTCCTGCAATAGGATTAACCCCTTTGGCCCTTATTACATTGCTTGAAGCCAAATTCTGGGAAAAAAATATCCAAGAAGCTGTATGTTGTGTGGTAGGAGGCAATAAAGTATAATCTTGCAGCATGCCGGCTCCTATACACTAAGTGGCCAGTTTATTATGACCACCTGACATTTATAGGCAAATTAGCTATAATTTTGGCGCTGAAGTTGCTAGAGGGCCAGACCATTATAAATAGGGAAGCAGGTTGTTTACCACGACAGTAGAAGCGATTTTGTTTCTGAACATACGGGTAAACAACGCCATTTAATAGCCTTTGAATGTGGGATGATTGTTGGCGCTCAGAGCCATGGAGCGAGTATCAGCAAAACAGCAGAATTTGTTAAATGTTCAAGAGCAGCTGTTGTTAGTGTTTAAAGACCGGACTGTCAGCCGAAAATCTGGGCCTGACCGTGCGAATTGTGGCCGTCAGCGACTAGTCAATGTTAGGGCAGAACGGAGAGTGGCAAGACTGGTACAAGACAACAGAAGGGCAACAGTGCCGTGTCAGATTCCTCGCATCACCTTTCAACATCTCGTGGAATCACGAGGCGGCCCAACGAAGTACTGATGGGGTGATCATAATAATCTGGCCACTCAGTGTATATAACTATTGTGTTCTGGGCACTGTGGGGGGCGAGGGATGCGGCTTGCAGTGTTCAGTGGCATCCCCACCCCTCCTACTTTCCCATTCAAAAAATGCCTTGTATGATCCTCCAAAGAATACAAGGTGTTCTGTGATTGGAGAGGAGGGAGCAGAGCTGTGACATAATCTCTCCTCCAATCACAGGACACCTATATGTAAGCCATTTCTCTTAGAGTTTGGCTTTAAGTGCACCAAAATTTGGTTTTGGATCGCGTGGCATTATATTGAAACCCTTGTAATTGTTTTTTTATCCTGGTAACCATTGGATTACCTTTTTGACTTTCTGTCCCAGTAACAAAATTCTACAATTGCCACCGGAGATTAAAAATGAACTCCTGTCTCCTAAATGCAGATGAAATGCATATAGAAGACCTGCACCTGCCAAAGGATTTGTATTTGTTAATCCAGTTCTGAGATTCACACATCTCTGCAGCACTGGGCAGGAGACCTGATTTTTCTCTGCTGCCGTTCACTGACGCTTAAAGGTCTCATTCATCCCCCAGCTTGTGACTGGACAGTGAAAGGAGAAGCAGCAGACTGATGAGCTTAGAGGAACTTTGGCCTTATCTTTGAAATGACAACAACAGACACCTTTTAGAAATGTTTAGTGATGACAATCTACAAACGCATGCTTCAAGATAATTTCAGGCTTTTTTATTCTTTGCATACTTTATTTTTCTTCTCCTCCCCATTCCTTTCACTGTGGCCATTTTTACTAAGGGCAGATTAATATATCTCCCTTTACTTCCCGGAACTCTGGCACATGTGACTAGGACATGTGACCATGCACATCATCTCAGGGGAGGAAAAGGCCTTTCCCTGAGATCTCATGAGATTACAGATGAGATTTGCCAGCAATGCTCTGCTGATGCAACCTTCCCAGGATACAACGCTTGGGCACATTACATTACTAATGCCCAAGAGGACCAGGAAGTGGAAAAACAATAATTGTAAAAGAAAATTGTAGTGAATGTAAGATGATTTCATATTGGCATGCAGCGCTGCATGCTGATGTGATTTTTAGTAAAAGGGGTAAAGGTCCACTTTAACTTTCCCTCCGCTTTATCTGCTCCTTTCGCCAACTAAAACTGATTGGCTCCGTGTGCTGCTTCTCCCTCGCCCACTTTGAGCTCTGCTGTACAGGGACTGCAAGAGGCTGATGGGTAAAATTCAGGTACTTACACTGCTTTTATTTATTTTTTTAATGAATTTCATGTTTTA